GGACGTGGGTGCAGTGAAGATGCGGATCTGCAGGCGATCCTCGATTCCCTCCCGTCGAAATAGGCGACGAAGGCCAAGTGTCGTCTTCCGCAAAAAGCGATGGCGGAGCATGCGGTAGAGTCGACGAGATGCTCGCGTTTATGGATGAGGAAAAAGAGGAGCCGAAGCCCTCCTACACACCCATCTACTCGGCGCCTGGCACGGATGTCGTGGACATCTTCGGTGACAAAAGCTTAGTTCAGGCTAGTATTGTGTATGTACTATGTAAAAAATCTTTTGCATGGTTTGTATGGATATAGGGGATGAAATATCGAATGCATAGCACTAAATATGAGACGGACGTGCTCGGTTGCGTCTATGGGAGTTTGAGGTGCCGAATTTGTCATATCGGGTTATAGGTGCTCTGATGCACCGCCCGTATGGAACAAATACGTTTGCTACAAGAAGAAGAAGAAGCAGCAGCAGCAGCAGCAGCAGCAACGGAAAAAAGAATGGAAACACGGCGCTGGCACTACAGGGCTGGCGCTACAGTTTGAGCATGTATTGGGCGATGGACGGACAGCGCTGGCGGGGCGGCCCCCGGGCGTGTAGGGTCTTTTCGGCGGCTCCAACCACTTCCACGAGCCGCGAAATGAATGCCGACTCGACCGAGCCCGATCCGCTCCCCTGCTCGGGCATAGTGTCAGGTGCGGCGATCGCCTCGCCTTTTGCTGGTCACGGGCGATAGAGCCGCCCCGTTGCGTCATACGCGCGCGATACGGATCGAGAACCGTACGCTGCTGTACGTACAGTACATGCCGAGACACCTGTCGTACGTCGAGTGGCCGGCTGCGCTCGTATTAATCCGTACCAACTTTTCGTAATATTTGCGTGGAGATCGAGTGGTTTGTGATACGACGTTGACACCGTCACGGTAGAGCGTGGAGTAGTGGTTCGTGTGGGGGTTAGATGGCTGGTTATACGTATATTTTGTGGATGGTGACGATCTCACTGCGTATTTTGTAGGAGTACTCCGTAAGTGTGGGCGTTGACTGATCAACTGACCGGAAAGGACCGTGACCACTGAACAGAGGCGGCCGGCCTCTTTGTTTACTCGCCATGCCCGTACCGAACAAACGACTCTGTATTTCTGGCTGAGGGCACGTAGTACAACGTAAGGTGAGCCATGTTTTCTGAGCAGGTGGTAGGGGCTATGCTTATTGGTTTTCCTCCATTGTTTTACTCAACCAGTAGTGATTTCCTTCTTTGGGGCCGGGTCCGTACGTTGACCTCACGCACCTGCCTCGGGTTTCTTCTGGAAGCGAGCGGCCACGGCGGACGGACGCATGCTTCTTGTCTGCGCCACTGCAACTTTTGCATGGCCGGCGCCCGGCGGTAGGTGTAACCGCGTCGTATCGTATCGTACTATATTCGTATGCATCCCCGATGGATTGATCTTTCCCGGAGCAAAAGCATCCCGAGCTCTTCCAGACTAGTTTAGTTTTGCCGCTCCAAATGCGGGCGGCGTCGGTGTCACGCACTCCTGAATCCCTGCACTGTCAAGTCATATACCCCCTCCGTTTAAAAAAATTTGTCCCAATCTCATTTCTCAAATGGATGTAGATACATTCATTTGAGGAACAAATTTTTTCGAACGGAGAGAGTACTACCATAAAACCCTCTACTCCGATTCCGAAGTGGATCGCACCAGCGGCCATGTTGAACAGTGGGCAGAGGCCAGTGGCAATGTGGCATGACGCTTTCTGGCTCCGTCTCAATTATCGATTTTGGATTTGGCCTGTCGTGTCAGGGATGTTCAGGGGATGGTTCTGAAGATGGCAGCGGGGTGCTGCTCGCGGCAGAGCGCATCGGCTCTGTTCTGCCATGATTGCCCTGGTGATCAACTGATCCATCATGACGTCGCTCGTAGCACGATCCAGGGTTCAGGCTGCTCTCTTTTTTGGCTAATAACACATGTACTACTACTCAAGAGTATCATTATCGGTCTGGATCATTCCATAATTATTTGGGAATCATAGCAGTTGTGGACACTGCTGCTAGCGCTGACAAATGCGCTCAGGGCGACTGCAGACAGGTGAGGGCAGTTATGCGTCGAATCAGGGTTATCTTAATCGTAGCCGTCAGCTTTGTGGGTCAGGTGATGTTTCTTAAACGCTTTTATATGTACAGTTTTGCTATTTCACATCTAGATGTGAAATACTATGTCACATCTAAGTCCCTTACCGTCCGATCTACTGTTGCTTGTTTATTCGTGCGAGCTGTTGATTCCGGTTCCTGGCCATGTCCGCGACGTCGTTGCGTTTTTCCTCAGCCCGTTATGTGTCCTGCACACGTTGTCCATTTTTTTAGAACTGTGTCAGGTGTTTTGTCGGCCCACTATCCCTGCGTCCGGGCTCTTCTTTTGGCCCGTTTTTCTGTGCGTTCTCCCACTCCTTTAACCATCGCGTCACTGTTTCCAACCTTGTTTCAGTTTTGTGTTGTTTTTTTCATGTATATAAGCTACAGGGAGAACGTGAAGAACGGTGTTCCAAAAAAAAAAACGTGAACAGTATGTGCATTCGATGGAGAACTATTCGTCTCATTCTCTTCTTTCTGTTTCCTTTTCCTTTTCCTTGTTCCTTGTTCCTTTTTTTTCATTTGTTCGTTCGAAATTTATGATTTTTTAAATAGGATTTGCTAAATCTCATCTTGATCAGGTTTATCAATGGCTTATCTAAGGTGATGTCCGTTGGATTTTATTGTAGTAATTTTTCGCGCAACCTCTTGATCTTGTGTCGTCGGCCGGTGTATTCCCGTGTCATCTTATTTGTTTGTTCACATATAGGCCCATTCATGTTGTGCGTCCATTTTTTTTTGTCGGACCTTTTCTTCTTGTACATTTTGTTGCAGGTTCATTCTAGAGGAGAGAGTGTAACTAGATTTTTTTGTATTCTTTTTTGCATAAGGACATCATCTTTTTTAGTTAATTAAACATTTTTTGTTGTTCGATTTTTTTCAAAAGTTAATTAAATTTAAATTTTTTAAAAATGCATGATTAATTTATATTTTTGTCATTTATTTGTTTGATAAACATTTTTATTGATGAACAATTTTTGAATACACGCCTCAGGTGCAAGTCCACCACCGACTCATAATCTAGGGTTGACTTTTTTGTTCTAGTTGCAAGTCAACCATTAACTCGCAACTAGCCTGACCTTGTTTTATTCTACCTGCAACACAACCATT